TTTTTTTTTTTTTTTTTTTTTTTTTGGTACTGGGGATTGAACTCTGGTCCTTGCGCTTGTGAGGCAGACAACGGAACCACTGAACTAAATCCCCGGCCCTAGACAGACTTTCTAGGGCCAGTTTCCAGAATTCCCGAGACTCAGCTGTGCTTCCAGACTTCTGGTTTCATGAGCCAGTCTGCCCACCTAAAGAATTCCCTCTATCTGCTTAGGCTGTTATCAATAGAACAGCCAGAGTGATTTAAAAACAAACAAAACGAAAAGCCTCTCAAATGTAACAAGGCCCCAATGGCTGCCTTTTAATCTCTCCAACCTGCCATGTTCCCTTTGGCTCTGGGGCCTTGGCTTGTGTTGTCCCTTTCACGTGGAAGAGCCTCACCAACTGACACCCCATCTCTAACTGCTCTTTTGTGACACCTTGGTGACTTTACAGCTGCTGCTAAGATGCACTGATAGCCTATCTGCCAACCGAGGTCTGCTGTAGTTTCTCAGCGTGCTGCTCAGTGCTCAGCACAGTGCCAAACACATAGCGCACATCTGAATGTCTGCCAAAGGAAGAAAGAAAGAGCAAATAGCCAAGTCACTGCCTACGTTCCACTTCCAGCTGTATGTTAAAACCCCCGATATCTGCCTTACCTCAGCTCATGGTTTCAGCTCTCCCCGGACACTCGTTCTTCTATTAGAGGCTTGTTGTCACTCAGACTTGCAGGCAGGGTCAGTCCCCAGGACAAAAGTCTCTGTGGTGCTCAGAGCACAGTGCAGTGGGTGTTGGGACCCGAGGGATGAAGAGAGAAAGGGACAGCACCAAAGCAGGCCTTCTGAAGCTCACTTCAGAGAAAGAGAAGGGAAAGAGTAAGGGAAGAAGGAAAAAAGGAAGAAAAGAAAGAATAAAACACTGAAATAAACTCAAAAATTCCATGATTCAATTTAAAATGATATTAAAGATCAGGATATGCTTCCCTAAGGAGTTTATACTTGCCTTTTCATCAGTGTATCAAAGGAAAAAAGTTCTCCCTTTTTCTCCCCCCCACAGAGATAGAGTATTTTGTTTTTCACCATGTTCTGGGACTTCTAGTCCAGACAATCATCTGCTACTTGCTCCTGCCCATTAATAAAACCAGAAGAACTCTACCAGCCACCTCTGCATGCAGCCCTCCAGGTGTGGCCCGGTGAGTGTGAGGGGAAGGAAGGAAGGACAGCAAAGCGTGCTTCTGCTGATGGCTTTTACATTGGTTCCCAAAACTGCCTCAGGTGACTAAACTGGGTCCCTCTCCCTTGCAAACATGAGATTTGTGGATTTGGGAGCAGGTGAGCTTTCAGTTGAGTTTCATAAAAATTCTTCCATCTCTTTTCATCTCAGTACAGGAAGATAGTATATTCAAAGAAAGCCCTAAAATTCCCAAGTGTCTCCCACTAGGCTTAAATAATTCCCTTGTCTCCCCCATGAAAATCTTAAAATCCTCTGTTGCTTTCCAAGCTACTTAGCTTCCACGGAGAATCACCAGCCCCCATACCTTGCACCAAGAAGTTTCATCTTTATGTGTTGGCTACCTGGCCACTCCAAAAGGTTTCCTTCGATTAGTTTTAACCCATTTGTGAGGGCGATGATGACAATGATGAGGATTATAGAATCCTCTGTGTTCCCCAGGCCATCAATGCTCATTTAATTGGTTTGCAGTTTACTACTTGATATTTATTTGTAATATTAATATTCTTCATTGTGCCTTTTCCCCCTTTACTTGGTGCCTAAAGTCCTCAAGGAAAAGAGCATTCGACTGAATTCAGTTCAGTTCAGTTCAGTTCAATTCAATTCAATTCAAAAAGCATTTGCTCTATTATAGCAGTGCCTGGCACAGGGTAAGGGCATATTGTGTACAGAAAATACAGCAACTGCTGAGGAAAACATGTTTTAAATAGATGATACACCATCCCTGCCTTGGACATGTTTATAGACACCTAATTCTTGGGGAGACAAATTAAAAACATATGTATAATATATTCATATATAACTTCATATGTCTATACAAATGTTTTATATATTCATATATGGAGTTTTACATATTTATGTACACAGAGAAACTTCTCAAATGATTCCGCTGATTTGTAAATGTGCATGTGAACGTATAAAATGCACACGTGTTTCTATGCAAATGTCTACATGTGATACATCAGGTCTGCAAAGGGAGGTAGGAGACCTCCTGGGGCTGCACTGGCTGCATCCAGGCAGATGAAGATAAGGAGGAGGAAGCTCATCCTAGGAAAGGGAAGAACTGTAAAAGGCAGTAATAGGACACATGACAATTCTGAGATTCTGGGGACCAAGAGGAGTCGGACACCATGCAGTGTGGGGAATTATTTCGGTGCGGGAAAGGCTATGAGATGCGTACTAACCAACAGACTGGAAGATGAGCTTTTCTTTCTCCAGACAATGGAACCTTGTACAGTTTCTCAGCAGAGTTAAGAAGGGGGAGAATGTGTGTTTCGGTGAGATCTACCCTGGCCACATGTGGAGAGCGATCGGAGGTAGCGGTTTGTCAGACTCTAGAGCAGGTAGGCCATTGCCAGGGACTAAATGGCAGATAAGCTAAACAAGGGAATCGCTGTCAGAAGTGGGAATAAGACAGGCGCAACACGGAGGAGGACTGAGGGTCTGTGTGGTAAGACGGGGATGCTTGGAGGAGTTGGGAGGGGTCCCTTTGGAATAGGGCACAGCCTGCTTGGTGACAGCATTCCTTAGTTGTAGAGTCCAGGGGACTGATTTTCTACACCTATTAGTGCAGGGATGGCCTCCTAGCTTTGTGGGACCTGAAGGTTAATAAATTTTGAGAAACTTCTTAAGGGAAAAAATACAAAATTTACTAAAAAGGAAGTATACATTTAGAGTGAAAGAACTCACAATAAATGACAAATGATAAAAATCTGAAAATCCAAATCCAAACTGACATGATTTTGTTGTAACTTTTTTTTCTCTCATTGAGTTTATTGGCACATTTTAGGTATACAGTACAGTTACACTCATTACTGGGATCTTGTACCTTCACATGACAGGTCTTGGTTCTCGTTTTTTCCCCTTGTCCCTGCCCTCCCTTCACCCCCCTCCTCCCCTCCCCATTTACAAACACTTTATTTCCAATTTTTCATTTTCTCAGATTTTTTCTTTTCCCTTATTACCTTGTTAACTGTTATTAATTAACTGTCTAACACACTTCTACAAAATCTTGTCCTACATCTTCTTTGTATCGTTTTTCTTTTCTTTTCTTTTTTTTGTCACATGAAAGTTAATATAACAAACTTTACCACTTCAAGGTGAAAGTCCAGTGGGTTTTTAAGTATATTTACCATGCCATGCAGCCTCACTACTGTATAATTACAAAACGTTCCCATCATCACCCCGAAGAAAACCTGTCCCTGTCAGCTGTCAGCCACAACACCTCCACCTTTGTGGATTTGCCTGTTCTGGACATTTCATGTGAATGGTCTCATGTAGAATGTGACCATTATCTCTGGTTTCTTTCCTATAACATGTTTTCAAGGTTCATTCATGTTGTAGATTATAACAGCATTTCACTCCTTTCTTCAAAATTCTTATTGAGGTGAAATTCGCAGAACATAATATCGTTTATTCAAAGTGGATGATTCTGTGGCATTCAACATATTCTCCATGTTGTACAATCACCACCTCTGTCAAGTTCCAAAGCATTTTTATCACCCTAGAAAGAAATCCAATATCATTACCAAGTTTAATCCCAGTTTCCTTGTCCCCAGTACCATGTACTCTGTATGGATTTGCTTATTCTGGATCATTCTCATGAATAGAATTATATAAGATGTAACCTTCTATGTCATGCACCCCTCACTTGGTGTAATGTTCCTGAGGCTCATCCATATTCATGATTGAACAACATTTCATTGTATAGCTAGAAATACCACAGCCTGTTCATTCACTCATCTGCTAAAGGCCGGGGGGGGGGGTCTGCCTTTTGACCACTATGAAGAGAGGTACTATGTACAGTGGTTTTTGGAGTATCTGATTTCAAATATTTAAGAGAGGAATTGCTGGATTATAAGGTAATACTTCTGTTTTATTTTTTTGAGGATTTGCCAAACTGTGTTCCAAGCATCCAAACCATTGTACATTCCTACATGTATATGTAAGGGTTCCAATTTTTCTGTATCGAATCCACCCTTGATATTTTCTTTATTTTTTCATTAAAGGTGGGAAATGGAATCTCATCATCATTTTAACTTACATCTAATAACTAATGATGCTGGGCATATCTCTACACACTTTTTGTGCATTTGCATAGATTTTTTGAAAAATATCTATTCAAATATTTTGCCCATTTTAAAATTAGAATATTTATCTTTTTGTTGCTGATTTGTAAGGGTTTGTTATACATTGTGGATATTATGCTTTTACCACATATATGATTTGTAAATATTTTCCTGAAGTTGTCCCTTTAATTTCTTGATAGCATACTTTGGCCTATCGATTCTTCTACTTTCTTACTAAATCTTCGGTCATCTGTGTTAGCCATTGTTGAAAGTAGGTTATTGACATCTCCTACAATTATTGAATTGCCTATCTTTTACTTCAATGCTATTAATTTTGTTTCAATATTTTGGAGTTCTATTTTTAGATGTATGTGTATAGAATTCTTATTTCTTTTGATTCTTTTATTATTGCATCTCCTTCTTTGTCTCTAGTAATACCTTTTGTAGCCAAGTCCATTTTGTTTGCTGTTAAAATAACTTCCGCTTTCTTTTGCTTACCATTTGTGGTGAATCTTTCTCATTCCTTTACCTTCAATCTATTTGTATCTTTGAATCTCTTACAGACAACATAACTGGATCATATTTTTAAAACATTTGCCAATTTTTGCCTGTTAATTGGAGAGTTTAATCATTTAAGTGTAAGGTAACTTTATTTTTTTTTTTAAGCTTTCTGGTCATTTGTGGTAGTACCTCTTCTAATGCCTGTATTTGGTTTTACTTCCCTCTACTTGGAAGGCTAAGGCACAAAGATCACAAGTTTGAGGGCAACCTGAGTAATCTAGCAAGATTCTGTCTCAAAATAAAATAAGGGCTAGGGGTGTAGCTCAGTAATAGAACAAATGCCTAAAATGTATGACATCCAAGGTTCAATACACAGTACAAAAATAAAGACTTCATTTTGCTATTTGTTTTCCATATGTCTTATATCCTCTTGTTACTTATTTCTTCCATCACTTACTTATTTTATGTTGAATAGGTATTTTCTGGTGTGCCAATTAAATTTCCTTGTCACTCTCTTTACTATATTTTTAGTTATTTTCCTAGTGGTTGCTCTGGTGATTATAATTAACCTCTTAACTTATTATAATTCAGCTCATGTCAATAGCGATTTAATATTAGTATATCAACTCTTTGCTTTTATATAGTTTCATTTCTCCCTCCTCTACACTATGAAGCTTTTATTATAAATCATATCCTTACACTTGTGTCTGTTACAATAGATTTATAAATATTGGGTTATGCATTTGTCCTTAAATCAGAAAGCAAAGGAGTTACAATCGAAAATGTGTATTCATACTTTGTCATATGATTACTATTACCAAAAACATTTTATGAATTTTAGTTATTATCTAGTGCCCCTTTATTTCATTTCAACCTGAAAGACTTGTTTTAACATTTGTTGGAGGATGGATTTGTTAGCAACAAACTCAATTTTTATTAAAGGATTCCTGATTAACTTTCTTCTTTGAGTACTTGCAATATATCAATCCACTGTCACTGGCCTCCACATTTCTCGTGAGAATTCAGCTGTTCATTTTACTGGGTTTTATTGAGGAACTGAGTCATTTTTTACTTTCTGCTTTCAAAATTCTTCCTCTTTATCTTTGAGAGCTTGATTATTATCATAGTGGATCTCTGAATTTACCCTGTTTTTAGTTCACTGAGATTCTTGGATGGGTAGAAAATGTCTTTCTGCCATTCTTCTGCCATTCTTTCAAATATTTTCTGTCTTTTTTTCCTACTCCCCCTCCTCTTCTTTTTTCCTCCTTATTCTTCCTTCTCCTTCGTCCCCTCCTATTTCTTCTCCTCCTACTTCTCCTTCTACTAACATGATGCATGTGAAGGCATCCCACAGATTTCTAAGTCTAATAATTTGTTTGACTTCACTCTTTCTTGTTTTTCAAACTGGACAATCCTAACTGACCTATATTTAAGTTGCTAATCCTTCTACCTATTCAAATTTACAGCTGAAGTGCTCTACTGAACTTTTTGTTTCAGTTATTATAAATTTTCAGCTGGTTCTTTTAAAAATATAATTTCTGGTACCTGGGCTCAAACTCAGGACCTTGCACTTGCGAGGCAGGCGGCGGCACTACTGAGCTAAATCCCCGGCAGTTTAAAAATATAATTACTATCTTTTATTGATACTTTGTACTTGGAAAGACATCATTCTGATAATTTTGCTTTTTATATGATTTCCTTTAGTTTTTAATATATTCTAAGTGGCTCATGTAAGGTTGTTTTATACAAGGAGTTATAAAAATGCAGTAAGTTTTTAAAAATTATAGTGTTGTACAGTAGAAGACACATTGTCACTGATCCTTTTCAGAATATTCCCCCTTGCTTCAGACATGCTTATATCATCTCTCTTGCCATTTTTTGAAGCAGTTCTGGACCTTCTCTTTGATGTGTCTTTACAAAGTGTTATCAAACATATAGCGAGTGCTTCTGGAGATTGTCATCTAAGGAAAAGGCGTGCTTGTAAAAACATTGTGGCGAACCCTTGTCCACCTTATTAGCTGAATCTGGCACTGTGAAACTTCTGGCTGTCTTCATAGTTAAAATTACCACAAAGGGTAAATGTTTTGAATTGATTCAGGACATTGAAGCAGTCATGACAACATAACACAATAAAGGAAGACTTCCAGAACTACTGCAAAAAAAGACAAGAACAATGGATAAGTGTGTTGGAAGTGTCAAGGGGAGATTCATGGCAATGTGTCCTTTTCTATAATAACATTAAAATATTTTTTAAACAGTCACTGTGTTTTTTTTATCACACTTTTCACTTAAGTCCAATATCCAGGCCTCCTCAAAGACAGTTTCTATTGACTTCTTTTTTACCCCTTTTATATCTGAGCCATACCTTTTTGCTTCTTTGTTTGCCTTGTAGTTTTTTTAAAAAACTGAACACTTTAAATATTGTAATGAGGTAACTCTAGAAATCAAAGTCTGCCCTCTCCCCAGGGTTTGTTGCTGTTGCTTGTTTTAGTTGTAGTTTATTTGTTTAATAACTTTTATGAGCTAATTCTATAATGTCTGTATTCTTTATCATCTGTGGCTACTGCAATCTCCGTTGTACTGGATTAGCGATCAGATAATAACTGAACAGAGATTTCCTTAATGCCTGGAAGAAAAAAAAGTATTGCTACATTTTTACCAAAATCCTCTGCATGTGTGTTGAGGCCTGGCTTCTACATTCATCCAGATCCTTTATAAATTTGCCTTAGCCTTTACTTCCTACTTACTCAGAGCCCTATGCTCATTCATAAGCATATATGCTATTGCAGCTTCTCATGTGTAAACTTTTCAAAACTTTGTAATGCTGCCATAGTTGCATCTTGTTGGCTATGTCATCACCCAGTCGGTAGGAAAACCATGTTTCCTATACCTTCTTACACAATAAAAGTTGAAATAAGTTGGTTGTGGTTACTAATACTACTATTGTGATGAGAGACATTAGTAGGTATTTGAAAAAATTGTTACTGTCAGAACCCTGAGGTCTGCCAGAGGTCAGAGCTTTATCAGGGCTTTATCAGCTCATTCCTAAGCGTGCATGCCATTCCAGCTCTTCAAAGCTTTCATGGACATCTCGCCTCCTGCTCTTTCCTGTCAAACATTTCGGTTTATTCTGTCATCTCCAGCAATAGCAACCAAAACATTAGCCTGCAACTGCTTTTGCCAGATGCCTCCCTCCTTTCTTGTCGCTTTAAACTGGGCAAGTTCCAAGTCAAGCAAAATAGAATAAGTCCTTTGAGCTGCTCTTCCATGGAGCTGTCACATACGTTTTTTTTAATGGAGAAAATAATTATAATTCTGTGTAAATGAGGTCTATTCTATGCCCCTGGAACCAAGAACACAAGCCATTCTTTTCAAGGTTACCTCGGAGCTGTGATGTAGGTTTAGTTAAAATGAAACAAAGCTCATGGTTGTTACTGAGAGTCAGTGTTTTCCTTGGATAAACACTGGCCAAAGTCTTTGGTTGATTTCTAAAGAGTTGATTCTGGTAGTTTTGGTCAATCTTCACTTTATTAAGGAGAAGAATATCGGTGTCACTCACTGTATCATTTTCGGTGACATCATGACCCTCCATACTCTTTTTGATTACTTCCTGATATGACAAGGATTTTGTAATGCAATTTTCCATTAAAAAAGTATCAGGATAATCCAGGTTTCCTTTAACATGTTTAAGTGTTTTTAAAACTTACTTAAAAATATTTCTTGTCACTGATGAGCAATGCCATAGTTATTAAGGCTTCCAGGTTCCTGCTCAGGCAAGGCCTGTTGATAGAACAAACCTTTAGAGAACTCCAAGTCTTTGATCATAGTTGACCTGGCATTTCCACCTAGAGACCAGCACCAGTTGGACCTAGCCAGGCTCTTATACTTCCACCCCATACTCCTATCCTCACTGGGCTGGTCCTGAAGTTAGAGGGAAAAGCACGTGGAAATGTGGATTCTAGCTTCAGTTTCAGGTCTTCTCCAGGGATCATAGATCAGGTACAAAGGCTCCCTGATATTTGCTATAGGAAGCCAGGTGAAGCAGTCTGTCAATCCCACCCACAACTCTGTGATCACCAGCAAGGTATGACTGGAAAAACAAAATGTGTAAAATCCACACCATGAAATAATATTCAATAGTAAAAAGAAGTAGAGTTTTGATATAGGCTAAAACATGGACACGCCTTGAAAACACTGTATTAATGTAGAACCCCAATCACAGAAAACTATGTATTTGATGACTCCGTTTATATGAAATGTCCAGAATATCTATAGAAATAGAACATAGACTAGTAGTTATCTGGGTTTCTGGGCCTGGGGCAGGAATGAGGGGAAACTGATCATGGTGTCAGGAGTTTTGGGGAGGTTGTTAAAAAAATATGCTAAAATTAGTTTATGATGATATATTAGTTTTTCATCAATGTGACAAAATATCTGAGAAAAACAGGTTAAAGGAGGGGATATTTAGTTTGGCTTTGATTTTCAAAAGTTTCAGTCCATGGTTGCTTGGTTCTACTGCTTTGGGCTGCTTTGGCCATGAGACAAAGCTGAACATCATGGTGGAGAGGATGAAGTGGAGGAAAGCTTTTTACCGCATGGCAGCCCAGAAGCAGAGAGAAAAAGAAAAGGTCACTTCTGCGATCTACTTCTTACTAATAGGCCTCACCTCCTGAAGTTCCCACCACGTCCTAATAGCATCATCAGCTAGGAACCAAACCTTCTTCGACACATGAGCCTGTGGGAGATAGTCCACGTCAGAACTGTAGTGGGCGATGATGGTACCACTCTGAATATACAGCAACAACAACAGCGTTCAATTGTAGAGTTTAACCGGATGCATTTTGTCCTTTGTATCATGTTGCAATAGAGCAGTTAAAATCAGGAGCATTAAGGGATGCTCGAGGACAGGCCTAAGGCAGAACCCCAGCCTCAGACACGTGCCAGAGCTGTTGTGGCTTCTGCCTCTTTCTGGAGGGAGGTGCAGAGCCTGGAAGGGGCCGTGAATGACCGGCCCTGCAGCTTCGTCCACATGGGCTCCTTGGAAAACCGCCTTTGGACATGTCGCAGGCTCCTCCCTCTCTCCTTCTCTTCCCTCCTCCCCTCCCTTAGCCCTGCCCTCCTCTTCACTTTCCTCGTCTTTCTCCCTCTCCTCTCTTCTAAAGTAGTTGACTCCAGGGTGCCGAAACTCTTTCTAAAGCCACGCCCACAGATACCGACTGCGTTCAGTGAACATTGCGATCCTCCCTGGGTGGGAGCAAGCTCACAGGTTAAACTGAAGGGAGGTGGGTGGAAGGGGCCTAGGGAGACGAAAGGAGGAGTGACGTTTATAAAATGTATTGACACGCGAGCTCCTCAACGGAAAACAACCCGAATCAATCAAAGCGTTTTCCCATTTCACTCCTTTCACTGTAGCCCCTGAATGTGACAGGGATGTGGGGGCAGCAGCCAGAAATCAGGCTTGGCCCCCAGAGCAACAGATCTAACAGATGCCTCTGTAACGCTCTCTACGGGTACCTCAGCTCACGGAGTTCCACTCTGTTCCCACTCTGCAGGTCAGAAGTCCTCTTTGAACACGCAGACACACTTTCCCGATTTTCCCTTGTCATTTCCAGCAGGGTGCCATTATCTTTCTTTGAACAGTTCTGCCTTGGTTAATTTTGGGTTGAGTCATGGAAACTTACAGGATACAGCATTCTGATAACCTTGGTGAACTGGCATCTTGAACAGAGGAGCAGTCAGTTGTTTTCTCATTCTGTTGTCGGCCGCTCTGTTACTTACCGTGAGTCTTGTGTATAGGTGAGCCCGAGGTTCAGGACCGCACAGAGAGGCCTCCTCTCGTGCAGATGTTTACTAGCCCAGAGGACATTAGGTTGGTGAATCCTGAGCCTGCTTCCCCCTGGTCCCAGGCACAGAGATTCTACTTCCCAGTCTGATTTACATCTGGGGGTGATTATTCCACTGAGGCCAGGAGAGCATGGGCACAAGTTATGAAGCTTATCTCCAGGTCGCCTCCTCTCGGGTGCACTTGACACATTCTCCTGGCCAGCTGGCTAGAATGGAAATAGCTTCTGAAGCAACACAAGCAGCCATAATTTAAAGGCATCAGAACCAAAAAGGAAAAGGACCGCCGAAGAAGACCCGCACTAGAGTCACAGCAAGGGTGCTTTTATTGCCTTAGATGCTGATGTGTGAAGGTTTTCCTGGATCAAGGGATGCTCTGTCTCAGTCCATGTTACCTCACTATCACAGAAAAGCTAAGGCAGGGTCTCATTATGTAGTTGAGACTGACCTGGAACTCACTATGCAGCGCAGGCTGGTCTCAAACTCACAGAGATCCTCCTGCCTCAGCATCACAAGTGCTGGGATTATAGGCGTGCACCACCATGCCCAGCCAAACATCATTTTTTAAAAGCAGTTTATTTAGCTCATAGTTTTGGAGGCTGAAAGTCCAAACAGCATAGCAGTGGTTCTGGCAAAGGCTCTATGATAAATGACGGAAGTGCACACAGGAAAAGCATCTCAAAGCACAGGAAGCCACAGAAGCTGGGATCTCTTCATCTCTCCCAAAGGAGCACCCTAATGACCTGGGGACCTTCCGATTGGTAATCCCCTTGTAAAGGATGTCATCCCCCAGGACCAGGGGCCAAGCCTCCGTCACCTGAACCTTTGGAGACTCACTCAGGCCATATCCGAACCGTAGCATGCTTTCACTAGCTCCAGAGTTAAAACATATTGCTGCATATATCCCCAAATTCAGCCGTTGCAAACACATACTTATTAGGTCGTGTGGAACCCGGGCCCAGGTTACCTGATGTCTCTAGTCCACAAAGCTGCCATCAGGGCTGTCAGCAGCCTTTACTTCTGTCCCAGTCACCCTCTGAGGGCCTCACATTCTTTCTGGCTGCTGTTAGCTGGAGATGGGGGTTCTTTGCCAGAGGGTTAACTCCGCAGAGCAGCTGACAGCAAGGCAGCTGGTGTCCCTCAGCACCAATGAATGCAGCGCCAACAGGGCTGACAAAGATGCCCCAGACAGAGCCAGAGTTTCTTTGTAACCCAGATTCAGCAGGGACATCCACCCCCTTGGCGATGTGCTATCACTGCTTTAGCCTTGTTTGGAAGGAAGGGACCCCACTCAGGTGAGGAATACTTTGGGCCAGGTTAGATGCTGCCCATCACACTAATTCCTAGGATTCCTTACTCCTGAACATCTGTGGGCAGATTCCACTTTTAAATTGCTCTGAAGCTACGCTGTCTAATATAGCAGCAATTAAAATTAAAAACTCAATGTCTTAATCAAACTAGCCACATTTCAAGCGTTCATTAACCACATGTGCCTAGTGGCTACCATACCAGAGAATGTAGATATAAAATATTTCCATTACCGCAACTGTTCTATTGCAAAAACAAAATAAACGTGACACCCACCTCTTTTTATAAAGCTATCTTTCCCCAGAATTGTGAAACAAAAAGCATGTTTTCCCACTGAGAATCTTTTTTTCTGCCTTCATTGCCACCCATCTTTTCCTCTGCCTCCTTTGAGGAACTAAGTTGTAACTGGATTCTTTTCTCCCTGAAAACCTACTCTCCAAGAAATAATTAAACTCATTCATACTGAGGTGCAAATGACTATCTCTGCGATCTCATTAGTTCCTCGGAGTTATTTTCATTCTAACAAGACCATAGCTGAAGGAGTAAGATTCTAATTGTGGCACATTAGATAGTAACTCTGCTAACTGGGATTTTTTTTTTCTTTCGGAAGCGGGGCGGGGGTAGCTTTCATGTCTTGAATACTTTGAAATTTGAAAAATCCCTTCAGAAATGAGAATATCCGATCCCAGTGTATCTGGCTTTTGATTTCCAGTTTTTACACAGGATCTTTCTCAGTTAGTAGCAACTCGGATGTGGGTGTGCTCTAACTCAGCCTGGCTCAGACCGTGCAAATATTACATGACATAACAGAAGCTATATTTATAATTAGGGACCACTAAGTACGGTGGACTGCGTTCACCACATATAATGCCCGGTTTCCTTCTCCTGACCCAAATGAGTCCATCATTTAACAGAGGCACAGTCTTTATGTCACCGAGGGGAAACAGAAGTTCTTTGATAGAGGAAAGGAAAAGTATGGCGAATGACCCCGTTGGCCACCAACAATGGAACATTCCACCCAAGCTAACCGGCCCATTATTAGTGCCTGGAGTATAATATTCACCTTAATTTGCCAGTTGTCTCCACGTGGTCGCTTGGTCGTTTAGAAGCAGAGGGAGCTGACTAATGACAGGTCACCCACATCTGAGATGCAGGTTCCTTTACGCCTGACTGGACGGGCCAGACGCTGGAAGCCCTGCCATTCAGGCTCTTGTTTTTGTTGTGGAACAAAAGCCTCACTCCCAACTGTGGCACCAAAATCGCGCTGGCCCTGTGGAGTAACTGACAGCTCAGAGCTGGGCCACGTCGTGTTTACTGCAGCCTGAGGCTGGAACGAGGCAAGGCAAGCGCAAAACCAGGAGGCGGAGCCTGCGGAGCTGGCGCGCGCCTAGGAGGAAAGTGAAAGTGTCAGCTGTGCCCCAGAGCCCGCGCCCTGCACGCTAGGAAGGCCTTTGGTGATTCGGTGCGTCTTCGTCCCAGACTTCAGATTACCGTCTCTGTATCAGAATGTGTGTCCACCTCCGCCCCGGGGCGCACAGATGAGCGTTTAAGGCCTCAGTCTGCTGCACCATGACATGAAGGAGAGAAACTGAAAGAGTAATTAGATGCTATAGATGCTCCCTGCAGATCTTATCTGTTAGGTTTGTTTCCTGCACACTTCAAACTGCAGTGTCATTACCGTCATCATTAGAGATCCCCACCCCCCACCCCAGTGCAGAGACTTGAACCCAGGGTTTCATTCATGCTAAGTAAGTGCTCTATCGCCGACCCACAACCCCAGACCTTAAACGGTGCTCATTAAACATCGAATAGCACACGCTGCTGTTGTACACTGAACCACGTGTGTCCAAGCCCTGAGTAGCTAATAGGTTAACACAGCAAGGAAAGTTCCAAAATGAATGCGTTGCAAAATGAATACACAAGATCTGTATCTGCTACACACCAAGCAAACTAAAACAGATTCCTGCCCGCTCAGTGGTACAAGGAGCACCTTTGAGGGAAATCAAGTGACTTTGACCCTGTGGTTTCTGAGTGGAGGCGACAGAGCTCAGAATGTCAGTCGTGGAATCTGCCCTCCAAAGCACCTGTGCTGGTTCAGTGTGCTGGTTCTGTGACTTCAGGCAAGACCATCAACTTCTCCTCATGCAGTAAGTGAAGAAAATAATATGTACAGACCTGCAGTGAACTTTTAACGTAATAATTTATGTCAAGTGGCTGACAGTAAGCATACAATAGATAAATGTGGTTATTTGATGCCAACATATCATAATTTTTTTTTAAATAATGGTAGGCCACAGTCTTCCTCATGAAGAGGAAAGCATTTAGGAAGTGTACCTAGAACGTGGTAAGTACTCCTGTCTTCATGCTGCTTTCACTGACCAGCATATCAGACAAATGCACACTTTGCCATTTACCTGTTGCGCCTCTTACTCTCTTGGTACTGCGGTTTCTTCATCAGTAAAATGAGTATAATAACGCCACCAACCTGTAGGAATATGGAGAGGGGACAGAGATAAATCATGTGAAGAAACAGGCCATTGGCAGCATCTAATAAATGTCTACGGTTGGGACTGTTGCTTTTGGCATCTGATGGGTTATGCTTCTAGAAATTAAGACTTGGTGAAGCACTGTTCTTTTTACAGCATCATTTAAGGACAGGATGAGAAGGAAGTTTTCCTCAGGAACCCACCCCATCTCATTCCCTTGAGAGAAAGACAGGTCTTTTCCCTTTAGTCAGTGGATCCTCCCCTCTTCTCTAGACCTCTGCAGTCCTTCCACTGACATCAAGGATGATGAACTGATACCAACTGGACTCCCCCTCCCTGGAGCATTTCTTTTTTTTGAACCTTTAATTTGAAATCACTGCAGTTTCATTAGTACTTGTAAGAGATAAATGCATCATTTTCTCCTACGGTAACATCTTGCATATGTATAGCCCCATCATAAGCAGGACATCGACATGATATCATCTATCTCAGATGTCATCACTTTTACACCCAGTGTGTGTGCGTTTAATTCTACCACATGTGTAGATTCGTGTGATCAGTGCCACAGTCAAGATATAGAACCAGTCCATCGCAAGTGTTTCTTATCTGACATATTTTTACCCCATACTTTTTGCTTATCACACTTCCTGTACTGCCTCTAATTGCCCATGAAATGTCTCCTGAGTTCAAAAGCCTAATAAGACCTTGCCTAGACCATCACAAATAAATTCTAATGTATAGCATCTATCGAATAGGTTGTATTCCCACGACAATTGCACACTCAGATCATGTTTTTGTGATTTTTCTTTTGGGGAATGAGCAGTAGGAGACCATCAGGAAGCAAGATGAAGGAAAATGGGGCTCAGACTCACTGCTCAATTCTAAATGCACATGAAAAAAAAAATTGAGGGATAAGGAAGAACCCAAAGCAGGCTGGTTGGTCTAAGTGGAAGCTTAACACACACAAAATCAGAAATTACTCTCTTTCACCCAACCATGATCCAATGAATAAATAATGAGTCTCCTATCTGCAGCTGAAGAACTGGATCTCATTCTTGCTCCCTCTGAATAGCCTGAGGCCTAAGTTCAACATCCATCAATGCCCAGGCTTGCAATTGCTAGGCAGAGCTCAGCTTGATTGTGGTGAACCACAGCCTTTTAGTGCTGATGACCCTGACATATTCTACACAGTGCAAAAAGCGCTGGCTGAAAGCCTGGAGGAACATGAGGTGAAAAGCATTTCCTTTATAAATGTGACATAATTAAAATTCACAATGTTCCACAAACAGCCCTCCCCGCAAAGGCTTCTTGCAGTCATCTACTACAACTCGTATGCTAAGGGCTGAGAGGCCTTGGTCTCCAACAGCTCCCAATCACAAGATCGTCCTGGTGTGGAGTATCTCAAGTCCTCCTGGCTTCCTGTGATGCTACTGGTGATTGAAAAAAAGGATAAGAATGCTTGCGAAGAGACATGTCAATGCAGGAGATGTTTGACTCCACTGTGCCCTACATTCTAAGATATGGTTCCTGCACCAGCCATACCAGCACCACCTTGCAATTTGTGGGGGAGCAAGTTGTAAAACTCCATCCCACACCTTCTGAATCAGAAACTGTACCTTTAATCTGTTTTGAACCAACTCTACAGGTGATTCTGATGCATATTAAAGTTTGAGAACCACTGGATCTTCCAACAAAAGGATTAAAAATAAGATTGGTAGACCACTATCATGGTTAATCATCCTAATCAGAATGACGATGAGTTAGTCGAGTACTACTTTAAATTCTGGAAAGAAATATGGAGTCCCTACAAATGCTAGACCCTGTTCTAGGGCCAGAGGAAAAAACAAAGCAGACAATAGCGTGACTTCATGGAGCTGCTGGTAATCAGCACTGTGAAGAAAAAGGGTATCGGATTTGGAGTGCAATTTTAGTGGGGCAGTGAGGAAAGGCCTCTTTAAGAATGTGGTATTTGGGCAGCTTCCTGGGTGAAGCTCAGGAGTTAGCAGGTCATGCTGAGGTCACAAGGACAGGCACCTGGTAGAGGAAACTGGAAAAGTGACTGCCTGATATCAGCAGAAGTTTGGTGCAAATAAGGAAGAGCGGGAAGGTAACGTAGAGAGAAGTGGGGGGGAAGGAGAACTGGTTGGAGAGAGGTGGATAGGGCTGGATTAGATGGGCTGTTCTAGCCTGGAAAGGACATTTCTATACCTTGTGAGAGTGATGGGTACCTACTGGAGCCTCTTGGATGGGGAGAGCGGCAGATTTTATGCATTTCAGGTAATTCAGCTGCTATATGGAGGTTTGCTTGGGAAAGTAATGAGGAGGATTAGGAGGCGCCTGTGGTAGTCCAGGTTAGAGATGAGAGAGGCTAGACAACTATTGTAGCAGAGGAGGCAGTGGGATTGGTTGGATTTAGGGTGCATTTTTTTTTTTTTTTTTTGGTACTGGGATTGAACTCAGGTCCTTGCGCTTGTGAGGCAGGCCACCGAACCACTGAGCTAAATCCCTGGCCCTTAGGGTACATTTTAAAGATAAATCTAGGCTATGAGAAGACAAGAGGAGTCATTAATCATTTCTAAATTTCTGCCTTAAATTACCAGGTCCATGGTGTTGGCAGGTATTCAAATAAGTAAAACTGATGAAGAAACAAGTCTGAAAACCAAGAATTTTATTTTGATCATGTTAAGTTTGAGAAGCCTAATTAAATATTCAAGCATGCAGGACAATATCAAATATTGGCTACTCAACAGGTAAACTGAGCTAGGCTTTGTTACCTTATAATGCGTGTAACTAAGTAATAAAACCATTCATCATATAAAGTGTGGAAAAATATTTAAAAGTAAGCATTTTATAAAATAATCATTTAAGTTTGATTTTTTTTCCATTCTTCTACTCCATAAATCCATTTTCCTCAAACTCCCCACATGGGTCTTTTACATCTTCTTTCCCATCAGTAGAATCACCATTTAGGTCTTCGAATAGTTTTCCAGACAATGTCATATTTACTTTCAGCTGAACTGCTTAACCTATGGCAATTTTTGGATCTGTGTATGTTGCCCTGGAAACTTTATCCCAACCACAAGAAATCCCTTTACTGCTTGTGATCACCACACTCAAATCACACACAACATCTTGCTTTGTAAGGTGATATACAGAAACTGTATTTTGAGTACCATGCATCTCTGATTCTTCAATATGGCCATGTCTAAATTACATTTCTTTGCCTCCTACTTTTACTGATTGAATCAAGTGGCCACTATAAATGTCTCAAACTGGAATTGACTGAGATTGCTTCAGACTACATTTTGTTCAAAATTAAGTATTTGAGTGAACACCTTTGAAAGAGGCTATAAAATCCAAATATTAGACAACTGACTCTTAAAGGATGATTTCTGGAAGTGATGGATTATATAATCTCAGCATAAATATATAAAAGCTAAATTTCGTTCAGGCAGAACACTTGACCTTGCTACTCATGCCCATCTTCTGCAAGGGCAGAAAGGCTGAGGCACTTGAGGAAGAATTCATAGCCATTCAAGCGTAGTTGGGCATGAGTTCACTGTGAGTGCAGCTAAAATTATATAAGCCAGAGAATACAGAGAGGGCCAGCGTAGTAGCTTGCATGCACACTGGGACTCTTTAGTGCATCAAGTTGAATGGATAAATGAGATTGTCAAATGTTTTCAACCTGAGTATTTACATCTCTGTGCAACTGAAAGAGTCAACAGGAGATCTTCTTCACAAACCACTTGACCTGTGCCTCTTCTGGACTGTTAATCCCTTTGTAATTTTTGCTGATGTTAATGCTCCTGATTCCTCTGTT